TGCTTCATAAAATGAATTTGAGAGGATTCCATCCTTTTCTATGTTCTGGTATAGTTTGAGTAGAATAGGTGTCAGTTCTTCTCTGAATGTAAAACTTCACCCACTATATTTAACATCCATAATTGATTCTTCCCTGAAATAGTTATTGCAATTGTCGCAGCCAAATGATGATTCTCTAAGGTCATCATTCCTTCTGCATTTATTAGTTGGATTCTCCTATGAGAAGGAGAATTTCCCATCTCCCCATTTCATTTATTTCTTCATTGATTCATCAACATCTTTATGGATTCATGGATTTTTATTTATTCTGAGTCATATTCTGTTGCTGTTGTTATTCATTTGACAGTCAAATTGTATGAGATTTGGTTGGTGGGAGCTCTTAACTCTGCCCTTGTGGCCCCATGATGCAGTGATTGCTTCTTTACTTTCTGGCTCAGCAAAGCTTTTCTGGCTCATTTTGTCAATTCCTGGCCCCTGCTTTGGAATCAACCATTTTAATAAGTAACTTTGGTTTCCTTTAGAGGAGAATTGTGCTTAATAAGCAAATTTAGCATTAGATGTACTCAGCATCTAGGGCTTCGTAACCACCTCACCTACTGGAGCTAGGAAATGAACATATTATTATAAAGCACACACACACCATCAGGGTTACTTGTCATCTAGTCATTTCCAACTCCTGACAACCCTATGTGTCAGAGGACACTGTGCTCCATGAATTTTCTTTTATTTCAATTTTCTGTATTTTGTTGTTATTATTGATAATACACACAGCAAAATATACAATTCGACAATTTCTACATATGTAATTCAATGACAAATATTATTTTCTTATATTCTTTGAGTTCTGTAACCATTCTCACCCTCCTTTTCTGAGTTATTTCTCCTCCATTGACACAAATTCACTGCCCCCTAAATTGTCTTTCTAACCTTTTGAGTTGCTGTTGTCAATATGATCCCATACAGATAGTTCTTAAAAGAGCATCATGCTCAGAGTAAAGTCTTTAAACACTTAAGAAGACTGGAGTGTTTTTAGTTTTAAGGTTTAAACTTTATCCCAGGACAATAGCTTCAGGGATTCATCCAGACTCCATGACTCCAGAAAGTCTGGAATCCATGAGAACCTGCAATTCAATTCTGCATTTCCCTGTTTTTGATCAGGTTTCTTGTAGAGTCTTTGATCAAATGTTCAGTAATTTTAGCTGGGCACCATCCAGTTCTTCTGATCTCATGACAAGGGAGGCAGTTGTTCACAGGGACAATCAGCCATACAATCCATTTCTTCCTCCTACTGCTGACTCCTTCCTGTGGTTCTAGGCAAATAGAA